TGTGTGTGTGTGCGTCTGTACCGAGTTTTCATGTTGAGATCTACAAAAGCTACATGCTGAAGTTTTGGCAACTAAATCTACACGCATGTATGGGTCCCTATCCCCAAAATGGACGCTCATGCCCACGTGGTTCCCACGCACGAGCCTGTGAACATTTTTGGCGGGTAATCCATATAAAATCTAAAGATTTCAAATCCAGCTTCCAGTGTGCGTAGTCCTCACGTGCGCGATCGTGAAATTTTTGGCGGGCAAGTTGCGAACTCGGGAACCAGGGAAGACAGAAAATTTAAATTTTATGCGGATGTTCCCCGTCCACATATAATCTAACGATGATTTCAGTCTAATGGTTTCAAATCACAATATGATTATAATCCAGTCATTTCACATTCAGCCCCCAGTCGTGAATGATCCCCTGAAAATTTTCGGCAAGTTGCTGACTCAGAAACCAGAAAAGCTAGGTGGCTGAATTTTTTTTTTTTTTGTTTCTGACAATTTTAAGGGGATGTTTTTCCTTTTCTGACTTGTTTTCTGACAACTGAGACTGGCGAATCTCAATTCTTTTAGCTAGAAACATTTGCCGGAAAAAACAGCGCCGCTCGACAAAAGCCTGCAGGGAACTAAGCAAAAAACGCATTTGAGCACCGGCCGTCGGTGCGTTGACCAATTATTTTTCAAGCAATGAAAATAGCAGAGTAAGAACTGTATTTCATTATCATCTAACTACATTTCTTACTTTTTAAATCCGACGATCATATTTTCCTCAGTCCTCACTTGCCTTCAACTAAAAAGCTTAACTTTTATAAATAATATTTATTTTTTAATTATCTTAACAAGTTTGTGTGCTGCCATAATGTAATGACGAGTACTGGCAAGAAATGTGTACAATTTCATGCATCGAGACATTTCTTTCCAGTTTTAAAAAAACTTTACCCATTTCATAATTCTTCAAACCTTTCCTCTTGTCCCATAACAATTCCTTTTCCTTCTTTCAAACTCAATTTAAAATTTGATCTGTCTGTAATTATATTTGTGGCATTAACTACAACAATTTGTGTCGCCGTACATTTGTTAGTACTTTCAGTCTGATAAACTGTTTATATTATTTAGAAATGACCTG